TAACTACGGGCAACAGCCACAAGACAATCCACTAAGAAGAATTAAAGGAATTACACAGGTATACTCTCAATTACCTAGCGATCCACAACGCCTAATTGAACCAACCTTTATGTGCCTCTTCCAACCCCATCTTCACCACGGAATTGTCTTTCTGATGAGCCACTCCGGATTTCCACCAAAGCTTCAGGCTCGAATTCTTCAAATCCACAACTGAAGAATAACTCTCTCTTTTGTGTATAACAAACAAACCTTTGATGTACTCTCTTTAGATCATGAGTTGAATACTCAATAAAAACATCAAAGAAAACTCACAAAGTATCCCCAGATATAAACCCTAGAAACCAAAAGAAGATCTGGAGAAGTAACCTAAAATCTGACCCCCACCGCGAATTTATAGAATCTGTCCGCGATCTCCGCTCGAGCGCCCAACAGCCCGTCGAGCGGGCTTCAGCAAAATATGCGCGAAATATCACAGAGGACCGCTCAGCGCCAGAAAGCCCCGCTCAGAGCGCAAAATCACACATCTCAGTATTTTTGCAGGCGACCAAAACTGCTGGAACCAGGGATTCTCCGCTCGAGCGCGGGTATGTCCGCTCGAGCGGACAGACAATTTTGAATGCATTTTAGCATTTTGCTTCGGGGCCTGCTCCTCAACCCCGCCGTGGCGCTGCCCCGGACCCGCCAAGGGGCGCTGCCCCCCTGGACCCCCGCGAGCTGACCGGCAGCTCGATCCCCGTCATAATCAGCGAAGTGGCAATCTTAAAATATTTGTATCACAAACTTCTCTGAAAGGCTCAATTCGGGTTGGATTCGCATCTAAACACTCACAGCCTCACTGAAATAAATGTGCGAAAATAAATACAACTGAAAGGAGTTTTGTCAAACGGGATTGCCAAGAAATAAAAACCTAACATCAAATAAAAAAAACTTAGTAGTACTCATATCTTCATCATCACAAAGATAAGAAATATAAAATGAAAGAAACTTATCTAAAGCTTATTCCCGTTGTAACAAAAAAAAAAAAAAAAAAAAAAAGTTCTCTAACGCGTATTTGATTGGAAAATTTGAGGAGGGATTTAGAAACAAAAAGAAAAAAAATGTGTGAAACTAAGTAAAATGTAAATATATTTTATTCACATTTCACCTGACTTTTCTCTTTTTCTTTTCAAATTCTTCCTCAAATCTCCCAATCAAACACAGCGCAAAGGTTATTTGATATGAAGCAGAAAGACTCTTGCATATCAGTGGCGAAATTCTAGTTATAGAAACTTGTCCAGAATAAATAAGATGCATTGATGTTAACTTTCTCAAACTTATCTGCAGTGACAAAGCTCAAACCTCTCTTTTATCAACTTTTATTTTTAATTTTTTTTTCTTAACGCCTAACTTAATTGCCTTCTCAAGGAAGGTGAATGATGCTAAGGATCAGAATTAGATAGATACTAAGGAGTCATTTTGGTGCAACTTAAAAGCTATAATTTAATCAAATTTATTTATTTATTTATTTATTTATTTTGAGTGGATCAACTCATATGCTGCGAAAGAAAACATGCAATGGTCCTGCAGAACAAATCAAAAACGAAAAAAAAAAGAAAGAGAAGAGAATATATATATATATATATATATTAGAGGTGGGTACAAATAATGTGTAATTTGTAATTCGATCTAATAATTATAGTAGTTGGAGAGAATTGTAGCAGTTTATAGCAATTATGATGGTTTGGAGCATTTTTGGAGAAAAAATTTACTTTGACATCTGCACCGATAGAAGTGTTTGCTTTATGTATATTTGAGATGAGCACGTATTACGAATGTGAAATTTGTAATTGAATCTAATAACTATGGCTTTGAAAGAAGCATTTGGATCTAGGAAAACAAATTTAGAGCAATTGCCATAGTTTGCAGCATTTTAAGAAATAAACAAACCTGTGACTGTCAATACCACTTATATATCAGTATAGAAGATTATATATATGAATAGTATGGATATAGTGTAATGAAGACTATAAAGAACCCTTCATGCACATTTCTGGAGAGTTGCACTACAATGACACAACAAAATATCAAAACTAGCTACAGACTTAACATGCCCTAAAGACTTAGCAGCATAATCCCACAGTAAACACACCCATAATTAAATTACTTAGTTCATAGTTTTATCCACACAAATTACACACCCAAAACATTTTTTCTAAGTAATAGGAATTATAGGACTCAGTGGTCTAGCTAGAAGACTCCATGTGAGCCTAGCTAGCGAGCGAGTAAACCCATAACCACATATATAATACAATAACATACCATATATAGGTTGACAGATCCAAACCCTAGATGGATAGTGAGTGACAGTCCTCTCAAAATTCAAACATTTCCTCCAGAAGGGCTATTGTGATCGTTCCATGGAAGAGAATAAGGAAATGGAAAAGAAGGGTTTGATATCCTTCATTACCCATTCTTCTAGGCAATGCCGGTTCGTTGCAGACGCAGTGAATCAAATTGGCATTGGCGACTTCTAGATCTTTCTGGAGCTTCTCAACCTGTCTTTGGAGGAAGGAGATAGCACCAACACAACCGTACACTGGATCTCGCACTCGTGCTTCGGCTTCGTAGGCGAGGGAACTCACTGCATCATCTCTTTGGTGAGGAAGGATTTCATTGAGGAGCTTACTTATGTTGCTTGCGCCGAAGATTTTGTGGATGTTGGCGAATTTCTGTGGATCCTCTGGTGGAAAATGAGGTGCAAAGATGCAGCCTGGTATGCATTTCCTCCTCAAAAATTTGCAGGCAGCACAAGGGGAAGTGTAGGAGCTTGATGAAGCCATTTTCACTGCACTAACCCATAAAGTAATTTGTTTCAAAAGCTTCTTAGTTAGGAGTGTGATTTTAAAAAAAACACAAAATACGATCATATATTGACTAATATAAACAGTATTAATTGATATATTTGTGAATATCTACATTAAAAGTTTAAAATTTCAATATGTATCAATCAATATTTAAAAATATTTTGAAACAATAGAGTCGTTTTATTAATTATCATGACTTTAATTAACAGTGATAAGTGCTTACCAATTCATATAAAAATTGATTTCTCCATATCAATACACTTTGATATACTTATGAAAATAAAAATCACATCCTTATATTTGCTACAATGTGTATTGATTCACATGATTCACAACTAATATAATCAATTCAACTACTAAAAAACTTTTTCTGTAAATAGTGATTTTAAAAAAATTCATAATTGCATCACTTGATTCTTGACACTGCTATATCATAACTGATATTGGTTCAATTCTCAATACCTCTATTTAAAACCTTTGTTATATACAACCTTTTAAATTTGTGACAAAAAAAATTAGACTTTTTGTACAGTTTAATTAAGTTACACCACGTAAAAGATTGTCCTCTGTAAAAGCCTACTTCTTCTTTTGCTTGTCTTTTTCTTCAATTTAATCAAGTTGCACACACATCGATGATGTCTGATCTGTGTGTAACTTATCCCATGGAAAATCAACAGAATAAGTCTGAGAATTTTCTCTAGAATTGAAGACTAGTTAAAGAACCTGTCCTCTCTCTCTCTCTCTCTCTCTCTCTCTCAACACACACACACACACACACACACACACACACACACACTCTGAGCTCACAGCCCACCTGCGACCGCTTCTTTTTTTTTCTTTAGTTTATCTTTTCTCTCTCCTCTCTCTCACTCTCTCAACGTGTTCAGAGTCTTCAGATTCCTACATTTCAAAGAATTCAGTTGCATAATTCATCATGAAGCAATAATACATGTCCTTTTGAACTCACTTTAACATTATATGATTAGATCTGATCAGTGCAATCTCTCACACTTATCTTTTTCACAGCTGTGACAAGATGGTACATGAACTTATGAACATCTGTTGTTTTTTCTACTAAATTCATAAAGGAAAACCCTAGATCTCAGAGACTGAACATAACTCAAAAAGCATGTATGTATAGTGTCTCCTGTAACCTTTATAGCTTTCCCATGAAAAAGAAAACTAGAAAGCAATTATCAACAAAATGGGTTATAAAAGCACCATGAGTTTACCTGTTTGTGATCTAGGGTTTCTTCTGATCAGAAGAACAAAATAGTGAAGTACCTTTTTTTCTCTTGTGGGTTGTTCTTTGTTTCTTCAAGTAAAAGGGTATGGTGTAGCCAACCAAAGATATGCAAGGGCTAGCATCACAGATTCATCTCTGGAGTTGAGAGAGACTTCACAAGAGAAAACCTAATTGAGAGACAGAGAGAAGAGAACCTAATTGGAGGAGAGAGAGAGAGAGAGGGAAGCAAAATTAAAGGTACTTTTTTGTGTAGGAGGATGGGCAAAGAGCAATTAGTGGATGGAGTGGGACTGAAGAAAAGACAAAGGTAATTAATTGGAGGTACACTAAGAAAAGATGACTTTGACACTTGATGTAACTAATAATGGTTAAACAAATGTTACAATAGAGTGCTTGGAAAGAGAAATGTTGATTAATAATTTATTAAAAAATAAAATACGTTAAAATATTATATTTAATTTATAATTATTTTATATATTTTTTATAATTATCAAATTAATTATAAAAAGAATTAATTAACTTTTTAAACATAATTATTTTAGTTAAACTACAATAATAAAAAAATCAAATAACTAATATGTGAGTGATTTTTTCGTCACACTGCCCGTTTAGTAATCAGTTAGAGAGTACTGGCAGAATAGATGGATTCAGTTAACCTGTAACAGAAAGAGAAGACTCCGGCGGTGGCTCTTCCACCCGGGGGCACTCCGACGATTCAAGTCAGACTTAGTATATCTTTCAAAGATAAATCAAGTGCAAACTCATTGCTCAAAGCATAAAATGTGTACCTTAGACCCACGGGGGTGCTCTCTTTTATAGTTTACTTAATCCTAGTCCCACTAGAAGCCTGACTTCTATGGACTACAGTTCAGTACTTACTTTGGACTCTTCAAGAGATAAAAATAAACTCCCTAAGAGCTTTATCCTCATCTTGACTAAGTCTCCTCTTTATTTAGGACTCTTGTCCCTTATCCGTTTATCTCGAATCCTGATATCTTCGGAGATAACCTCGGCAACGCCGAGATAACCTCGGTATAATGACCAGGACACATGGCACCTCGGCTGACACATCGGCGTCACCTTGCCACGTTAGTACTCAAAAATATATCCCCACAACTGCCTCCTAGGTTCTATTACCTCGGTATTCTGAGGTGATGGAACCTATATCGGCACTTCCTCTTGTATATCGGCTCAAGAACTCTTCAGCGGAGATCATTTTATGGCCGACATGTTTTTTCAGCAAACAAGAATTCCAGTGAATTTTTTTCACGTGTGTGAGCTGTCACGTATCATTACTCAACCGTTTCATTCATGCGTCTCCACCTCATTGGACCGTGTTCATGACGCGCTTGCAAGCTGTCTCTCTCTCACATGCGCCGCCTGACGCAACGTTCTTTTAGGTGTATTGATTACTTTTTTGCCGTCGTTTCAAATTTTTGACAAAACCTTTCCCCCTTTTATTTCTCTCTCTTTAAAATTAATAAATACATAGAAATACAAAAAATGTACTGAATTCTTATATTTTCGTTCCAGTATTTTTACAGGCGACTGCAGAGATGCTGAGAGCTTCCAATCCCCGCTCGAGCGTCCCTTTCCCCGCTCGAGCGGGAAGGCCAAAACTAGAAAAACTGGAAAAATATAACATGATCGGACAGGCAACTTTGAATGCTTTTTTGCATTTTGCTTCGGGCCGCGAGCTGACCGGGCAGCTCGACCCCCGTAATAATCAGCGAAGTGGCAATCTTGAAAATATTTGTATCACAAACTTCTCTGAAAGGCTCAATTCGGGTTGGATTCGCATCTAAACACTCACAGCCTCACTGAAATAAATGTGCGAAAATAAATACAACTGAAAGGAGTTTTGTCAAACGGGATTGCCAAGAAATAAAACCTAACATCAATAATAAAAAAAACTTAAGTAGTACTCATATCTTCATCATCACAAGATAAGAAAATATAAAATGAAAGAAACTTATCTAAAGCTTATTCCCGTTGTAACAAAAAAAAAAAAAAAAAAGTCTTAAAAAAAAAAAGTTCTCTAACGCGTATTTGATTGGAAAATTTGAGGAGGGATTTAGAAACAAAAAGAAAAAAAATGTGTGAAACTAAGTAAAATGTAAATATATTTTATTCACATTTCACCTGACTTTTCTCTTTTTCTTTTCAAATTCTTCCTCAAATCTCCCAATCAAACACAGCGCAAAGTTATTTGATATGAAGCAGAAAGACTCTTGCATATCAGTGGCGAAAATTCTAGTTATAGAAACTTGTCCAGAAATAAATAAGACTGCATTGATGTTAACTTTCTCAAACTTATCTGCAGTGACAAAGCTCAAACCTCTCTTTTATCAACTTTTATTTTTAATTTTTTTTTCTTAACGCCTAACTTAATTGCCTTCTCAAAGGAAGGTGAATGATGCTAAGGATCAGAATTAGATAGATACTAAAGGAGTCATTTTGGTGCAACTTAAAAGCTATAATTTAATCAAATTTATTTATTTATTTATTTATTTATTTTTGAGTGGATCAACTCATATGCTGCGAAAGAAAACATGCAATGGTCCTGCAGAACAAATCAAAAACGAAAAAAAAAAGGAAAGAGAAGAGAATATATATATATATATATATATTAGAGGTGGGTACAAATAATGTGTAATTTGTAATTCGATCTAATAATTATAGTAGTTGGAGAGAATTGTAGCAGTTTATAGCAATTATGATGGTTTGGGAGCATTTTTGGAGAAAAAATTTACTTTGACATCTGCACCGATAGAAGTGTTTGCTTTATGTATATTTGAGATGAGCACGTATTACGAATGTGAAATTTGTAATTGAATCTAATAACTATGGCTTTGAAAGAAGCATTTGGATCTAGGAAAACAAATTTAGAGCAATTGCCATAGTTTGCAGCATTTTAAGAAATAAACAAACCTGTGACTGTCAATACCACTTTATATATCAGTATAGAAGATTATTATATATGAATAGTATGGATATAGTGTAATGGAAGACTATAAAGAACCCTTCCATGCACATTTTCTGGAGAGTTGCACTACAATGACACAACAAAATATCAAAACTAGCTACAGACTTAACATGCCCTAAAGACTTAGGTCACTAATCCCACAGTAAACACACCCATAATTAAATTACTTAGTTCATAGTTTTATCCACACAATTACTACACCCACCAAACAATTTTTTCTAAGTAATAGGAATTATAGGACTCAGTGGTCTAGCTAGAAGACTCCATGTGAGCCTAGCTAGCGAGCGAGTAAACCCATAACCACATATATAATACAATAACATACCATATATAGGTTGACAGATCCAAACCCTAGATGGATAGTGAGTGACAGTCCTCTCAAAATTCAAACATTTCCTCCAGAAGGGCTATTGTGATCGTTCCATGGAAGAGAATAAGGAAATGGAAAAGAAGGGTTTTGATATCCTTCATTACCCATTCTTCTAGGCAATGCCGGTTCGTTGCAGACGCAGTGAATCAAATTGGCATTGGCGACTTCTAGATCTTTCTGGAGCTTCTCAACCTGTCTTTGGAGGAAGGAGATAGCACCAACACAACCGTACACTGGATCTCGCACTCGTGCTTCGGCTTCGTAGGCGAGGGAACTCACTGCATCATCTCTTTGGTGAGGAAGGATTTCATTGAGGAGCTTACTTATGTTGCTTGCGCCGAAGATTTTGTGGATGTTGGCGAATTTCTGTGGATCCTCTGGTGGAAAATGAGGTGCAAAGATGCAGCCTGGTATGCATTTCCTCCTCAAAAATTTGCAGGCAGCACAAGGGGAAGTGTAGGAGCTTGATGAAGCCATTTTCACTGCACTAACCCATAAAGTAATTTGTTTCAAAAGCTTCTTAGTTAGGAGTGTGATTTTAAAAATAACACAAAATACGATCATATATTGACTAATATAAACAGTATTAATTGATATATTTGTGAATATCTACATTAAAAGTTTAAAATTTCAATATGTATCAATCAATATTTAAAAATATTTTGAAACAATAGAGTCGTTTTATTAATTATCATGACTTTAATTAACAGTGATAAGTGCTTACCAATTCATATCAAATTTTGATTTCTCCATATCAATACACTTTGATATACTTATGAAAATAAAAATCACATCCTTATATTTGCTACAATGTGTATTGATTCACATGATTCACAACTAATATAATCAATTCAACTACTAAAAAACTTTTTCTGTAAATAGTGATTTTAAAAAATTCATAATTGCATCACTTGATTCTTGACACTGCTATATCATAACTGATATTGGTTCAATTCTCAATACCTCTATTTAAAACCTTTGTTATATACAACCTTTTAAATTTGTGACAAAAAAAATTAGACTTTTTGTACAGTTTAATTAAGTTACACCACGTAAAAGATTGTCCTCTGTAAAAGCCTACTTCTTCTTTTGCTTGTCTTTTTCTTCAATTTAATCAAGTTGCACACACATCGATGATGTCTGATCTGTGTGTAACTTATCCCATGGAAAATCAACAGAATAAGTCTGAGAATTTTCTCTAGAATTTGAAGACTAGTTAAAGAACCTGTCCTCTCTCTCTCTCTCTCTCTCTCACACACACACACACACTCTGAGCTCACAGCCCACCTGGACCTCTGCATATTTTCCTTAATTTGGTTTAAAATTTTGTCTTTTATCTTTTCTCTCTCCTCTCTCTCACTCTCTCAACGTGTTCAGAGTCTTCAGATTCCTACATTTCAAAGAATTCAGTTGCATAATTCATCATGAAGCAATAATACATGTCCTTTTGAACTCACTTTAACATTATATGATTAGATCTGATCAGTGCAATCTCTCACACTTATCTTTTTCACAGCTGTGACAAGATGGTACATGAACTTATGAACATCTGTTGTTTTTTCTACTAAATTCATAAAGGAAAACCCTAGATCTCAGAGACTGAACATAACTCAAAAAGCATGTATGTATAGTGTCTCCTGTAACCTTTATAGCTTTCCCATGAAAAAGAAAACTAGAAAGCAATTATCAACAAAATGGGTTATAAAAGCACCATGAGTTTACCTGTTTGTGATCTAGGGTTTCTTCTGATCAGAAGAACAAAATAGTGAAGTACCTTTTTTTCTCTTGTGGGTTGTTCTTTGTTTCTTCAAGTAAAAGGGTATGGTGTAGCCAACCAAAGATATGCAAGGGCTAGCATCACAGATTCATCTCTGGAGTTGAGAGAGACTTCACAAGAGAAAACCTAATTGGAGAGACAGAGAGAAGAGAACCTAATTGGAGGAGAGAGAGAGAGAGAGGGAAGCAAAATTAAAGGTACTTGTTTGTGTAGGAGGATGGGGCAAAGAGCATTAGTGGATGGAGTGGGACTGAAGGCAAAAGACAAAGGTAATTAATTGGAGGTACACTAAGAAAAGATGACTTTGACACTTGATGTAACTAATAATGGTTAAACAAATGTTACAATAGAGTGCTTGGAAAGAGAAATGTGTTAAAATAATTTATTAAAAAATAAAATACGTTAAAATATTATATTTAATTTATAATTATTTTATATATTTTTTATAATTATCAAATTAATTATAAAAAGAATTAATTAACTTTTTAAACATAATTATTTTAGTTAAACTACAATAATAAAAAAAATCAAATAACTAATATGTGAGTGATTTTTTCGTCACACTGCCCGTTTAGTAATCAGTTAGAGAGTACTGGCAGAATAGATGGATTCAGTTAACCTGTAACAGAAAGAGAAGACTCCGGCGGTGGCTCTTCCACCCGGGGGCACTCCGACGATTAAGTCAGACTTAGTATATCTCTCAAAGATAAATCAAGTGCTAAACTCACTGCTCAAAGCATAAAATGCGTACCTTAGACCCACGGGGGTGCCTCTCTTTTATAGTTTACTTAATCCTAGTCCCACTAGAAGCCTGACTTCTATGGACTACAATTCAGTACTTACTTTTGTAACAGAAAGAAAAGGCTCCGGCGGTGGCTCTTCCACCCGGGGGCACTCCGACGATCAAGTCAGACTTAGTATATCTCTCAAAGATAAATCAAGTGCTAAACTCATTGCTCAAAGCATAAAATGTGTACCTTAGACCCACGGGGGTGCCTCTCTTTTATAGTTTACTTAATCCTAGTCCCACTAGAAGCCTGACTTCTATGGACTACAGTTCAGTACTTACTTTGGACTCTTCAAGAGATAAAAATAAACTCCCTAAGAGCTTTATCCTCATCTTGACTAAGTCTCCTCTTTATTTTAGGACTCTTGTCCCTTATCCGTTTATCTCGAATCCTGATATCTTCGGAGATAACCTCGGCAACGCCGAGATAACCTCGGTATAATGACCAGGACACATGGCACCTCGGCTGACACATCGGCGTCACCTTGCCACGTGTTAGTACTCAAAAATATATCCCCACAACTGCCTCCTAGGTTCTATTACCTCGGTATTCTGAGGTGATGGAACCTATATCGGCACTTCCTCTTGTATATCGGCTCAAGAACTCTTCAGCGGAGATCATTTTATGGCCGACATGTTTTCTTCAGCAAACAAGAATTCCAGTGAATTTTTTCACGTGTGTGAGCTGTCACGTATCATTTACTCAACCGTTTCATTCATGCGTCTCCACCTCATTGGACCGTGTTCATGACGCGCTTGCAAGCTGTCTCTCTCTCACATGCGCCGCCTGACGCATACGTTCTTTTAGGTGTATTGATTACTTTTTTGCCGTCGTTTCAAATTTTTGACAAAAACCTTTCCCCCTTTCTTTATTTTTCACTTTTGCATTCGATTTCTCTTCGCTTTTTCTCTCTCTAGCTCCCGGATACGCCATTGTTCCAGTCTTTAAGTTCTGCAACTGCCTTCCGTTCTCCCTTTTTGTGAAGCTTTCGTCGTTCTCGTTGCATCCATTACTGTCGTCTGACTTCGGCAATCTTCATACCGGCTTCACTTTTTTCTGGTAAGCCACTGTTCCTTTTGTTTTCAATTCTGTTGATATTCTTTATTTCTTGTTGCCATTATTGTTTCAAATCTTGCGAATCACATATCTAAACATATATACTCAAATGGTTTTGATTTTGCCCATATCTTAAATACATACTGTTCACCACTTTCTTGCACTCTTATTACTATTCTTGACCATTTATTTCTCGTATTCTTTATGCTCTTGATAGCCCATCCCTGTTCTTGACTCTAAAGCACATCTTTGCCTTTCTGTCTTCCAGATCCGTGCCTTCGACCCTTGCTTTCATAGATCTAGGTTTGGGATTTGTTGTGTAGAACCCATAATTTAGGAAAAAACTGAAACTAGTACTTTACCTAGATTTTTGCTGAGGTCTTATTAACCCTCCCAAGACATTTTTTCTCTGAAACCTAACCTCTCTAATTCAGGCCGATATCATGGGTATGTGGAGACATAGGGTAGATACCCCGACCAAACTTGAGTGTTTTAGGCAAGAATTTTCTATCCCTGCCGATGTCCATCTGAGGCTGGCTGGAGATAACGACTCCATCATGCCCACAGATGATTCGATGCCTTTTCCTATTGTAGCTTTCACTGAGTGCGGACTCCGGCTCCCACTCAACATCCTTTTTCGTGAGATTTTTCACTATTATAAGTTGAACCCCATGCAACTGGCAATCAATTCCTACCGAGTGATCAACGGCATCATAGCTTTAGCTAAACAGGAAAATGCTAGGATCACCTTAACCGATATCCAGTATTGCTATACTATGTGTGCCCTTAATTTGAAAGAAAAATGCTACATTTATTACCTTAAGCTGAGGTTTACAGAATTCAAAATCGTAGCCGACCTCCCAAACTCCAACAAGGGGGCTGGAGATGACTATCTCATTACCTCGGGAAATTGGGAGTTTGCTCCAGAAGAGGACATCCATCTCTACCTTCTTCCCCGATCAGTTTTAGAGGGCAAGGGTAAGAGCCCAGTATTTAGCTTTGCCTGTTTTCTTTCAAAGTCTTAAATACTTTGTCGGTTTCTGACGTCTGTTCTTCTTGTAGCTGTTCGTCAGCCACCGAAATTTTTTTGCCAATCCTTTGTTCCCAGCAAGGATTTGAAGAAACTTCTAGACTTGCCAGTCCATAAAAGGAAAGCGCCTGTGCTTCTCAATTTTATTCCATCATACAAGTCAACTTTGCCCGACGTTCCCAAAAGGAAGAAGAAAAGCCTTTCTCCACCCTCTGCTACAACTCCGTTGACTGCATCCACATCACGAACAGATCAAGGATCAACATCTGATCCAGCTGATCAGCCATCAACTTCGGCTCCATACCTGGTCCCAATATCAAAAAGAAAACGTCGATGATGACTTGTCCTTACTGCCGAGATGGGTCACCCTAAGCCTGTTGCAAAAGATCTTCTGGCCAGTATTCCATCATCTGTTGATGAGCAGCCAACACAAAACCAACCTCTACCGAAGCCGAAAAGAATAAAGAAGGCTCAACCAAAGGCTAAGATAGCTCAGGTGGAATCTGAAGACACCTTGCCGATCTCAAAGTTGGCTGAGAGTGATAAATCTCAGCCTTCTGCTGGGAAGAAGCGCTCTGAGTCTCAACCACCATAATCCCAAAACCCAAAAAAGCTGAGGTCTTCCTCTACCACAACCTCGGGATCAAAAAAACCTGATGCCCCCTGGGTCCCCTTAATTACTCTGGAAGACAAGCTTGTTATGGCAAGTGACAGTGCCGAGGATATAAACGTCGGCGTTGCGCTCAGCACTGCTCTGCTGTTACCAGGCGATTTGGAGCGAAATGCCCAGTACAATGAGTATGAGAATTACGCTCTAATGCTTCAGCACTCCGTTCAGGTAAATGTCTTCTGTTTGGTAATTCTCTTTTTTCTTTCTCTTTATTTCGTACTTTGAACATTCTCTAATACCTATATTTTCTTTCAGACCATCCAGCATGCCCACTCTTTCTCAATGCAATCTTTTGAGAATCGAGAGAAGCTTGTCGAGATGAAGAGGGAGTTCTCTTCCATCCAAAAGACCAACAAAGGTCTTCAATCAAAGATGAAAAAACTGGAGGACCAAGCCGAGGCTGCAATCAAAGTTCAGACCAATGCCGAAGAGAAGGCTGAGGCTGCTGAAGCCATCAGGAAAGTGGCTGAGTCTCAGAAGAAAAAAGCTGAGGAAAAAATGGCCCAGGCCGAAAAGGAGCTTCAGGAGGCCCTGGCCACCAAAAAAGGCGAAATAAAAGATGTCGACGAGAAGGCATATGCCCAAGGCATGGCCGACGTCACAGATGCCTACAAACAGCAGGTGAAGGAGGCATGCAATAAGGGTTTCACCCTTGGTTGGATGTCCCTTTTAAAGAAGCTTAATGTCCCAGGGGACTCACCATTGAGGAAAGCTGATGCCATTCCTCTTCTATTCCCTCCAGCTCAACCTCCAAGTCAAGACGTCGGCGAGTCTGAGTCTGAGGATGGTGATGAGGAAGAGGATGAGGCGTTGGTAAGGAAATCCAAAGATGTTGCCAAGTCCCCTCTTCAAAATAAGCAAGTCCTAGAATTGACTCGGGATGAAGAAGGCGATGAGGTTAACAAAGATGCTGGTGATGAGAAGGAATCAGCCGATGCCATCCTTGCTGATGAAAACCTTGAAGACACTCTTGTAGAAATTGACGCCGAAATCGCGGCGGATAAGGCTACTGAGATGTCTTCTCAACAATCATCTGATCTTCAAATTCAACCAACTGGTGGAGAGGAGTCTTAGCTTCATGTTTGTCTTTTGTTTAATTGTATTTTGTTTTTTCTTTATTTTTTGGAACAATATAAGCCTTTTGTATGGCCGATGTGCCCTTTTCTTGTTGAATGCTAATACAACTTTTCTTTTCTGAATGCTTGTACTCTTGTCTTCTCTCCATTGCTTCCGTATGATTCTATACTTAGAATATTCTGCATGTCTTTCATATACTTTTCCTTCTTTGTACAATCTTCTCGGGGGTGACACACCTCGGATAGACAAATTTCTTGTAAACTTTTAACAGATGTTGAATCATCATACTGGTTTAACTTAACTTGTAAATTGTCCATCAATTTCAATAAGTGAAGATAAACAATAATCTTGGCTTAACTTTAACTTGTAAATTGCTACAAATTTCAACAAACGTTAAGCATTACTTCGGTTTAACTTCAACTTGTAAATTGCTACAAATTTCAACAAGTGAAGATAAACCATTTTGTCTTGTCCCTGTCCCCAATGTGAACCTGAGTTCTACTTGGGTTCTCATTATTTAGAAACAACAATATGCATATTTAATCAATTCACAAGTCTTTGAGAATTCTGCTAATATTTTATTGATGACGTCGGCAA